GATTTCATCGCCAGAGTTCTCAAAGAAAACCCTAGCCAGGTTGAACCCAAGTACTTGGTGGGCGACCGGTTTGTTACGCTGAGAGAGAAGCAAAGCTCTCATAAAGATGAGATCTTTAAGCTGAGCAAGGTCGTGAAGCGATTGTTTGGGGAAAGTGAGGGTAAAAGCGTAGGAGATGATAAGGGAGGGGGTTCGTCGAATCCAGTTTATCTTAAGGATCTTTTGAGGGAGTTTAAGGGGAACCTTTACGTTCCTGAGGAGGTTTTTAGGGCAAATTTGTCGGAGGAGGAGGAATTCGAGAGGGATTTGAAGGAGTTGCCGGTGATGAGCTTTGAAGATTTCCAGAAGCATTTGAAAGCTGATAAGATCAAGCTGCTGACGTCGAGATCAATGGCTGGTGTTTCTCCTCAGATTGGGTTTAGGGATTTTGTGGTGGAATTGAAGGATATTATTGGGGATAAGACTTTGCAGAAGACGAAATGGTGAGCATTGGACTTTGTGTTGTATTTTTCTCTCGTCTGTTTTGTATTCTTCTTTCAATTGTCTTTCTGGGTTCAATGACAGGTCAATTAGGTTAACAGCGAGTCAAGCAAGGGAAGTCCTGGAGGAGTATCGAGGACCGCAATATGAGATCGAGAAGCATACTATGGTTAGCTGTAATTTCCTCTTCTTTGCTTTGAAATGTTCTTCGTATGAAGTGTGGTTGTGAATCATGATGTCAATAGCGTGTTGTATTATCATGCTGATTAGGAAATAAAATAGTCATGTTATTTACTTAATGATGACAGGGAAAAAACTTGGCAAATGAGAGTAACACTAGGAATATTATGATATTCTAAAATTATTTGTTGTCCAGATCATAGAAGAGCAAAACTGATGGTTCCTTTGAAAACTATGCATCCCATGATAGAAGACTTCATCAGTCACAAGACTCACCACCATGCTCTAGAAGAGTATATTCTCTGAGAAGGTTTCTTTAAGGAATGTTTTCTTTGTCTGTCACCCATCCCTTATTGGTAGGAAACAAAGAGTTAATTTTGCATTTCCATAGAGCAGAAACATAGAGATCGAAGTTGTTTATGGGCGTGAAAGTTTCATTAAAATGTGAATATGCATCAGCTATAGGATCTTTTTCTTCCTTTTTTTCGTCAAAGGCACTACATATAGGGTAATATTTACTCTTAAGAGGAGATGACTCTCTCTCCTACTTTCGTAGGCATTGAATTTCTAATCAACTTGTTAGAAAATAAATAAACAAGAGAGCATGGCACCATCCCCAAAAAGATGGGATGATGTAACCTTTCTTTTTGTGCCATAGGATGGACATATTCAATAGCAGAAAAGTGAGAGGAAGATATTTTTGGCAGAATAGTGAGAAGAAGAGATTTTTTTTCTTTCTTCTCCTACGAGGAGAAAAGTTCATCTTGTACACACATAACTTATTGGGAGGGTTCATTTTTAATATACGATGGAACTATATTCTATAGCCTAGAGAAGAAGAACTATCGCTAGTTCCAGTGGTTGTACATTGTTCCTTGGGTAACCCTACGTGTTTGTTGGATTCTTCTTGATTAATTTCCTGACTTGAAACTGAAAATTATGTCTCTAACATCATGTTGGCTTCTTCTATATCAAGCAGAATGATGGTTGAGCTTGGGATGGTTACAGCTCTGATAGCTGCAGCAGCAGCAGTGATAGCTGGTTTTGTGGGATCTGCAGTTTTTGCCGTCACTAGTTTTGTATATGCTGCTACCATATATGTTGTGTGGCCTTTAGCCAGACCATTTGTTAAACTTGCACTTGGTATTGTATCCAATATCGCTGAGAGGATATGGGAATATGTTATCGATATCTTTAGTGAGGGAGGTATTATTTCAAAACTAAGTGAATTTTATACCTTTGGTGGTGTCTCTGCCAGTCTTGAGATGCTGAAACCAATCCTTCTGGTATTTGTAACTATGGTTCTTCTTGTTCGGTTTACTCTGTCAAGGAGACCAAAGAACTTCAGAAAATGGGTGAGTGTGTCTTCTTTAATCGGCCTATCCTATTGTTATAGATGCTTTAATTATGAATATGATTCATTTGTAGCTACATTACTTTTTTGGCCTTTGATTTTAAGGTGTACATTTTGCGCAGGATATATGGCAAGGCATAGAATTCGGCCAGTCAAAGCCACAAGCTAGAGTGGATGTAAGTTCTTAAAAGTAAAGCACCACCAGTTTCTGATGTATTAATTTGTTTTGTCTTACCAGCCCCATTGCCATAACAAGCTGATAATGGAACACTTGTGCTCACACCAGAATAAATGTTTCAACCCAATGTTTGATTGCTTTATCAGGGTTCTACAGGAGTGAAATTCAATGACGTGGCAGGGATTGATGAAGCAGTGGAGGAACTCCAAGAGGTCAGATACTGCAGATGATTACAGTCTACTTTAGCTAGTTCAGCATATTGTTGGCTATTTTCTTATTGAAAAATGTTTTAGAAAGAGAAAATTGGAGAAATTTTTTAATGTTTTAGATATTTGGTAAGTTTCCATGTAGATGTGAAATGCATCCACATAACCGATAGAATGCTGCGTAAGAGATATCTCACTGTGATCTTTTATGTTAGATGGTGATTATTCTCATTCTAAATGAAAACCTTAAAACGTCAAAATAAAAACATTAAAGCCTTTCATTCCAAATTTTAGGATCAACTACTTGTTAACTTCTCTGCATTTAACTCTGTTAGATGGCCATTTCTCTATTAAGTTAAATGATGACAACACCCTTTTGAACTTCCTGAATACATATTTGTTAGGTCAGTTCTTAACTTCTTATCTTTCCTTCTCCACCAACTACACCCTATCAATCTTTCTAACTGGTGCACTTAATTGTTTTCGTTGGACATTTTCAAATCATTTCAAGCAGTCCGTATTTTGTTCTCAACCAAATCTACCTCTAACTTCTTATAGATTTACCCATTTCTTATTTATGTTTTATTGTTTTACACACATCCATATCACTCATTTCAAATATATTCATTTTCTGGGAAATGGTTGTCTTTAGTTCCCCGAGCAGTCTAACCCATAATCATTGCAAGTCATATTATCGGCTTACATGGTAATTAACCAGCCTGTTTGATTCTATGAGCCATATCTTCTTTAGTGTCACCATTATCATTGATAACCGATGCTAGCTAGTGGACATGGTTGTTCCTAGGTATTTCTTATTTTATCAGTATGAATTATGTCCTCAACTATTAGTTATTGATAGTAAAAGAATAATTCCTTCTACAATATTGTCGAAAGGTGCAATTACTTAGTGAAGATTACATATAATGCTTCATTGACAAGTCTCTTCTCAGTTTTTTGTTTTGAAAGGCTTGATACACAATTGTTCACTTTATAAATTATTAGTTCCCCCACTCCACAACCATTAATAAAGAAGGTGAGATATTATTGGAATCTCAAGGAAAAGGAGGTTGGGTAGTGAGGTTTGAGGATAAATTATGCTCGTGCTAACAACTAATATATTTTTCACATGTGTTTTAAATTAAATTAAATTTATTTTTATTTTATTTTATTTTATTTTATTTTATTTTATTTTATTTTAACATGTGTAATAGATGCAGATTTCTTTGTTCCATCTTATTAGCTAGTTTCAATATATTTGAATCTTTCTGTGACAAATTTATGACCTAAAATCTATGATGGTGCGCCATGTAAACTGAATTAAAGTTACAAAAAAACTATGACAACTGTAATGTATTTTATGCACATCTTGTTAGGGAAAATTGATCTGAAAAGACCAGAACTAGATGCATTTTTCTGTTTGTGAGTTACCGTCAGGTGGCTGCTGGATCAATGGATTCATATGAATCTAAATCTTGAACGTAAACTAGGTCTCATTCATACGCAGGATGTGGACCCAGTGGACCCAACTTTAAGGGGAAGATTCCCAGGTCAATTAGTCTATAAGCCTGTTATTAACTGATAATTTGAATTAAGTGCATTATTGATATCATTATACAGAGTTAAATTTTTGAAGCAACTTAAGACTGTAGTTTTGCTTAATTCTTCATGTTTCTTCATGTTGATATGAATAATTAGATCTAAGTTGAATGTAAACTTGGTCTCATACGCATGATGTGGACCCCATTGTAAGGAGAATGTTCCCTAGAACTTAGTTTCTAAGCCTATTTTTTAACTGATTATTTGATTTTAATGTTTGGATATCATTACTTCCTTCTTAGTCTCCTAGTATTGCCTTCTTAAAGCAACCTAATTGACCGTGGTTATGTGTTGTTGTTCTTTGATGTGTATTCTTCATGCCTGTGAATAATTTAGATTTTAGATTTAAATTGAACATAAACTTGATCTTGTATGCCAGATGTGAATCAAATTCTAAGGAGAATCCAGTCATTTGGTATCTAAGCATATCATTAATTGATGATTTGTTTACTATGTTATTGGGTTTCAGTTTATCTTAGAATTACTTTCTTGAAGTAAGCTGAAGGATGGTTGTTATGCTTTATTCTTTATTCTTTACTCTCCATATCGATGTGAGTATGAAATAGACATTTCATCATGATTTCTTCCAACTTGAATTACCTACAAACTTTCACAAGAAGAAAAAAAAGTCTAAACTTGATGCTCAACATTGTTTTACCACATATTACTCTTGAAAGTTAAAAAAAATTACGTGTATTTTTTCACTCATTTTGGGTGCTCCGATTTGTTTATAGTTTCAGCCTTTGTGAGTGATAAATCTTAGATGATGTCACTTCCTTCTTGGTGTGTATATTATTTCCCTATTTTATTTTTTGTGGTATTTGAATGAAGACAGTTCTAAGTTTTAAATTATTTATTTTGGAGTTAGAATATTGTATTATTATCTTATCATAAATCTAACTTCATATTCTGTTGATTAGCTAGTCAGATATTTGAAGAATCCAGAACTATTTGATAAAATGGGGATTAAACCACCACATGGTGTCCTCTTGGAGGGTCCTCCTGGATGTGGGAAGGTAAGTTATATAATTACTGGAGCTTGAAACTGCTTTCTGCAATATCTTACTGTCCGTTCTTTAACTTCTGTCTAGACACTAGTTGCAAAGGCCATTGCTGGTGAAGCGGGTGTACCCTTTTACCAAATGGCTGGTTCTGAGTTTGTTGAAGTTTTGGTTGGTGTTGGTTCTGCTCGCATCAGGGACCTTTTCAAGAGAGCCAAGGTAATAGTTTGCTCAATCTATTATTCCTTATTCATCAATCAGTGATAATATAAGGTTTGCCAAATTGGTTTTCTCCTGTGCTTCTGTGGATCATTATGCAACTGGACTATGTGCCTAACTATTAGAAAAACATGTCCTTATTTCCTTTAGGGATGGGGTGTTTCAAAAATTTTGAATTCATAAAGTAGTTTTGTGTATGGATGGCTACATCGTGTTATCTTCCAAAGCACAAATTTCTTTGAACAATAACAATGGCAACAACAACAAACCTTTATCCCAAATGTTTGGGGTCGACTACATGAACCTTATTCTTCCATTCTGTTCAATTTTTGGCCATATCCTCCATCAAGTTAACCATTATCACATCCTTCTTAATTGCTTCTAACCGAGGTCTCTTAGGTCTATCTCTAGATCTCTTTGTTCTATTAACTATAATACTTTCACTTTTCCTAACCTGTGCTTTAAGAGGTCTCCGTTGTACATGACCAAACCACTTAGTGGATTCTCTCTCATTTTATATTGAATAGGAGCAACCTCTAATTTACTCCATTGTACATGACCAAATTCTCTTTGAACAATAACAACGGCCAAAGAACAAATTTGTTTGAACAATAACAAGGGCCAACTATCTTTATTTGAACAATAACAAAAACAAATAAAGTTGAACATTTCGGGTTAACTACACGGATCTTTTTCTTGTTTTCTCTCTATTAAGCCTTTTGAAAGTCCACTCTTCTCTTAAATTAGGAAAAATAGAAACCTAATATAGCTTTTTTATTGGACCTAATGTAAGAGCCAATCTTTTCTTAAATTAGGAAAACTTTAACCTATATAGCTTTTTCATTATGAAAATCCAGAAACCTAAAACTATGCTCTGTTTCTATCTAGCTAGTTCCTATTCACACATTCAGATGCCATCTCTTTAAGCTGTGATTTGTTGATCTCTATTACACATGTCAACATTTCAATGCTAGACGTGGGTGCTTCCTGTTCGTATTGTTGTTGCCTTTTTTTCCACTTGCCTTTTCTAATGGCAAGGAAGGTGTCCTTTCTTTTGGGAGAGTGTCCCAAATTTTTTGTGTTAGTATTGGGTGTTTTTTTGTTGTTTCTTTTCTTCTTTTGTTGGGAGGTGCCGTTGTGGATGAGTTGGGTTGTCAATCTTCGGACCCTGGTTACTGATTCAAGTCTGACCATACGACCGCCAATAATAATGGTAATAAGACCCCAATTTCAGTGAACCCTTCATTCTGTTCATAAGTACTAATTTGAAGGAACGAATACTTTATACTTGCATAAGTTTTCATGACTTTTGAGTTTAACGTGTGTCATGAGAATTGTTATTTTTGAATGGTTTAATACATGCAACTGATCCTGATTGAACATGTTATCTAAAGAGGGGGGAAAAGATAGAAGAGCAAAGATCGTGAAAAATGATGTTCCGTCAGTTTCATGAGTCTATCCATACAATTTTCTTTAGTAGGATGACACTCTGCAGTATAGTCCCACTCCATAGCAAATATAATTTAGTAAGGTTATCTTGTGAACTGTATCTGTGTATGGTACCTGATTAGGGTAAAGGGATGGTCAACTCTTGGCCCAGATGTGCATCTTAACAAAGAATAGAAGCCATATAGTTCCATAGGTTGTGTGTACAATGTATAAACTTGTATTTAGAATCTAGTCTAAACTTTGTTCTAAATTGATTCAAGAACATTTAGCTGTTAATTACTTGTATCTTGACATAATACATATACTATTGAAATAAATGTGGAGTTCAGCATAATAAAATATTTTACTTACTAATCAATAGATCGATTTCCCCCAATAATAACATGAAGTGATGGTTATTTCTTTAATGAAATCTTAAAACAAGTAATTCATTTGTAATTATGACTAATCAGCTTTCTTTCACTATTGGCTTTATACCTGAGAGAGATTCTCACTTGTGTGTAGACAAGAATGCACCAATATAACATTTTCGTTTTTAAATGATAATTTCCACTCGTGATTGTTTTTCTTGATAAGCGTATTTTTGTTTATGATGACTGAAGGTGAGAAATTTGACGGTTCTTTTCTGTTTCTGAGCTGAGATATTTTGATATGCAGGTAAACAAACCCTCAGTTGTATTTATTGATGAAATTGATGCGCTGGCAACTAGGTAAGCTGCCATAATCATTGGGTTTGGTGAATTTGGACTATTTTATTGTATGTGTGCATTTATTGTAACCTTTAGTCTACCTTATACATGACAAAGTATTTTTTGTAATATCTATTACAACATTGCAGTTACTTATATTTTGCCTAATGTCATAATTCTAAATACACATATTTAAGATGAATGCTTGTCTTTCCATTCTTGCTATAAGTTTGTGTATTTCTGTACTTTAGGTGTGTCTAATATTAGCCCATCTCAAGTTCAAGTTAGTTATTTTTCCTCTAAATAAACTACATTTGTATGGTGCACACTTGTTTTCTCCTCTACATCTCATGAGATGCATTATTCGACAATTCAGGATCACAGATAGCCTTTGCACCCTGTTCTTGTAATTTTATAACAATTCAATTTTTATTTCTTTTATGCTACAGAGAAGCAATTTTCACATACCTCCTACGTGTCTATTGAATTGTGAAAGAGAGATTGAAAAAAGGGTAAAGTTTAGCCCACTGGCTGTTGTTTGGTTTTCAAGTTCATGTATTCAATTATCATAAATAGGGACGAGCTTGGCCACTTCCCACAGCTAGATAATAAATATCTAGATTTTGTTATTTTCAAGTGTATTTGTTGGCATCTCTCTATTGAGATATGCATATAATTTACATCCTACAGTTCCATAATCAAAATTAACGTATTTTCTATTGTTTTTCTCTGCCTTTTTTATTGTTGTTTTTGTTGTTAGGCCATGTTAGATGAATCTCTATTCTATTTCTTTGGACCGTCTTTCTTTCTTTTATTTATTTCTTTCCATTCCAAATTGTGGATCTGATGATGTTTAGTTGCTATAACTTGCTGGTTGCTTCACCGTATCCTTAAAAAATTTGAGGGCTTACCCTCCTCAAGACAATTGGGAGAAAGAAAAAGACAGCTTGTATTATCCTTTTAGAGTGTACTTTTGATAAGAGAGATTATATGATTGATTTCTTTTTGTACCAGGCGCCAAGGAATTTTTAGTGAATCAACCAACTATCTTTATAATGCTGCAACACAAGAGAGAGAGACTACTCTTAATCAGCTCTTGATTGAACTTGATGGTTTTGATACCGGAAAGGGTGTGATATTCTTAGGTGCTACTAATCGTATGGATTTATTAGATCCTGCACTTCTTCGACCAGGTCGCTTTGACAGAAAGGTTTGTCACATTAGTTTGAAAGAATCTGAATTGAAGTTTTACGTTTGGTGCCAATGAGTCATTCACAATATCTTACCTATTTTACTTGCACTGTTCACTTTTTTTTTTCTCATGCGCAAAACTATTCAGGGTATTGCAAGTTAATGGAAACAAGACATATCAGAGCTACATGTTGATACCTATTTTATTAATAGTCTAATCAATAAATAAAAAAGGTTCAAAGTAGTTGCACTGAGTAGATGGTTGAAAAGTAACCATTTTATTTAATGATAAATAGGTGAGATCAAACTAGCAGATCTTTGTCTTGTTCAACAGTTGCATTGAGTAGATGGTGAAAAAGATATCATTTTATTTAAACCAATGGGAAAAATATATATCTTGATTCATTAAACAAATGGATCTTCTTGGTTTTCAATCCAAATGAGTTGCTTTTCTTACTTCATTGTGCCTTTATATTTTTTTCAGATACGAATCCGTCCTCCAGGGGCAAAAGGGCGGTTAGACATCTTAAAAGTCCATGCTCGCAAAGTCAAAATGTCACCTTCTGTTGACCTATCGACATATGCTCAAAACTTACCTGGTACATTGAAGTCTTCATTCCTGTTCATTGTTTTGTTTGTGTTTCTGTCAATCTGGAATTTATTGTTGGAACACATCTTTTACTAACATATCAGATGGCCAAATTGATGTAACTCCATGAAATCTGCAGTCTGGAAATGAAATAGGCCCAAATTTGAAATGCTTTGTGCTTAACCCTGGGATAAATATGCAGTTGCGACCATGTGAGATAAATAAGTTTGTCCACTGGAGCTTCATAATGCCTATAATTAAACAGTATATATGCATATCCTTGCATTCTGGTGCCATTAACATAGAAAGACGATTGCGCATTAGTTGGGCATGTGTTATTATGCAAAATTTTCATTTTTGATTATTTTAAAAGCAATTCAACATATATATATTTTATCAATATTACAAAAAACTTTCATCATCAATGTTTTACATGCCCTCACATTATTGAGATGCGGTGACTTGTGTGGTGGAAGCTACCTGATATGCTGCTGCCTTTGCCACTAATAATAAACGAGCATTCATATTGTTAGGTGTAAAAGATATAGTTATCTTCCAGAAGAATCTGGCTTAGCAGGCAATGGTTTTTATAGAGATCGGTACCTAAGATATATACAGCCTTCATAATTAAATATCTGATTAAAAAAAATTTGGCCTTCATAATTGTTTTGGAAGTGTTTTCCTTGTGGAATTTTATTTTCTATCAATCATCAGCTACAGCGTAATTATCGAGTTTTGGGTCTGAAACAAGTGTGATTGTCAGGATGGACGGGAGCTAAGTTAGCACAACTTATGCAGGAGTCTGCTTTGATAGCTGTCAGGAACAGGCATGACTCAGTTCTCCAATCTGACATTGATGATGCTGTTGATCGGTTAACAGTTGGGCCTAGACGCGTAGGATTTGAATTAGGTCATCAAGGACAGTGCAGAAGAGCTACAACTGAGGTTGGACTTGCAATAACATCCCATCTATTGAGACGCAATGAAGATGCTAAAGTTGAATCCTGTGAACGTATCTCAATCATTCCTCGTGGCGAGGTCTATCTCTTTGCCTTTTCATAAATCATCAGCATATGAGATGCATTATGAATCTATGATCCTCATATAATATATAAATATAACTAGAGCATGTTGATGGATATTTGCAGACACTGTCTCAAATTGTATTTCATCGTCTTGATGAAGAGCTTTACATGTTTGAAAGACGGCCACAATTACTTCATCGCCTTCAGGTATGGCTGTCAAACTGAGTAAGCCCCTTAATCTCCTTGAAACTACTTATTTGGGGCTTGCCTCACTTTTATTGTATGCTTGTTTTATATGAAAAGGTTCTACTAGGAGGGAGAGCTGCTGAAGAGGTGATATACGGTCGAGATACATCAAAAACATCCCTGAAGTATCTGGAGGATGCAACTTGCCTTGCTCGCAAAATACTAACCATGTAGATATCTTCATAAGTTTATGTGCTTAATGTTTTTCACTTTTTAGTTGTTTTACTGTGTTAATGGTGGTTTCTTTGCCTATTCAAAGTTGGAATTTGGAGAACCCTATGACAATACATGGTGAACCGTTTCCTTGGAGGAAAAAACCTACCTTTGTCGGTCCGCGATTGGACTTCGAAGGATCATTGTATGATGACTACGGTCTCATTGAGCCTCCAGTTAACTTTGATTTGGATGATCGAATTGCCGAAAGGACTGAAGAACTGATGCATGAAATGTATGGTAAAACAGTTTCTTTGTTGAGGAGGCATTTTGCAGCTCTTGTGAAAACAGTGAAGGTACTTGTGAACTTATCATATTATTTTGGCATTTGCTGGCTGAGGAGTTCTTTTCATTGTTAAGCCAGCTCGTCTTCAATCCAGGCATATTTTTGTGAGGTTCGAGATTCTAAGTTTATATCGGATGTCATCTCACTGTTTACAGGTACTCTTGGATAGCAAGGAAATTAGTGGAGATCAAATAGAGTTCATTCTAAATAATTATCCGCCGGAGACTCCTGTTAAGCTTGTATTGGACGAGAAAAATCCTGGGAGTCTTCCATTGTTCAAGTTGGAGGAGGACCATGATCTGAAGTTGATGCCCCTAGTCTCGTTGGAGGAATCAGTTTAAGGTTTGATCAGTATAGAATTCTCTCGTTCTCCTTCGAAGATGGGGTAATGGCTTGAAGAACAAAATGAGATGCCAACGGAAGTATTGCCATTTTTTACTGTTACGGCTTTTGTTTATGGAATTATCCCGGCCACATGAAGAAGATGAGAATCAAGAAGATGAGATTTTGATGTAAGTTATTTCTGCTTTGTTTTGTAATTGTATTCAGAAATATTAGAATCGTTTTTTTCTTGAGCGTATCAGGGAGAACCTCCGGTACGCTGTTCTGTCCAAGCCTGGCTGAGAAAGAATTGCATAGAGTAAAAATATAAAGAGGCTGATTCCAAATGTAATGAAGATTTCCTCTCACAGAAACGGAGTTGCCCAGTGGTCGATGGTATATGCTGGTCGTCATTTGTGCAGTTAGTGGGTATGAAATAGAAGTAAAAAAACTTAAAGTAAGGCTGGAGCAAAAAATCAGCATCTTCGTAGACCATTTGCTCATATCCGTACGGGGAAATACCGTTCCCCCAGTGTAGATAATTTATATATTAAAAAAAACTGTACCCTACACTTTTGGAGGGTGTTGGAACCCATTTTGTTTATAGCAGTCCAACAGCCCACACATACAAAAAGACCAAACAACGAACCCTG